AGAGTCTCACTCTGTTGCCCTGGCTAGAGTGAGTGTCGTGGCATTAGCCTAGCTCACAGCAACCTCAAACTCCTGGGCTCAAGCAATCCGCCCGCCTCGGCCTCCCAGAGTGCTAGGATTACAGGCGTGAGCCACCGCGCCCGGCCTGAAATGGATTATTGATGACTTTAGTTTGATTGGCATTTCACTGAGAAACACTTAACTGGGTCTAATACCAAAACTAATGATCATGGAACTTCCATAATCTGGCTCCAACATCCTAAATATTTTATTTATGTAACGATCCTTATATAGCATTCCCATGTGCTAGGCATTGTTTTAAGCACTTTACAAATATTAATTTCTTCTAGTCATGTCAATCCTCCGCGGCATGTTTGTCCGATTTTAAACCCTATTTCTAGACGACGAGACTGAGGCAAAGAGATCAAGTAACTTGTATAAACTTACACAGCTATTAAGTGGTAGAATTGAGATCTAAACATGGGAAATTGGGCTCTAGTGCCCATACTCTAAACTGTGTGCTAAACTGCTTTTCCTTATGCGTAATGTGATTCTAATGCCCCTGTTGCTGTCTATGAGTAATAATCCTAGAGCTAACCAAAGTACTTCTGTAATTATCTAGGCAGGCAGAACTGGTGATAAATCCAGGAGGACCCTGGTATTATTCATACTTTCTTCCATGTAGTGATTATTTATTGACCTATGTGCCAGACCCTATACTAGGTGCAGGGAAGTTAAAATGAATATTTGCACACTCTAGGTAGGAGCTAGCAAACACACAAACAAGTATTTGCAATACCTAATTATCATCTGTAATTACAGATTTCTATCTTTCCAACTGTCCCACTAAACCTATTCTCCAATGTCATGAAAAGCTTAAATCTCTGTTCCTTTTAATTTCTTTTCAGTCCATCACCGGCAGCCTCATGACTCTCTCCTCACCTTACACAGCTCAGAACCTATGTTTTATTATTGCAACCATTCTATTTGCAGCACCCTCGATGACTTCATCTTCTGCTTTCCCCACACCCATCCTAATAACCTGCAACCGCAGAACAATCTATCGCTTTATTTGCTTTTACATGCAAGCTGCTGAGCACAGCTAGAAGAAATCTTGCCTTCTTGTAAACTGGAGTCATATAATCACAGCTGGGTTTTAAACACACTGTACAATTTTTAATGCATTTTTTATGGTGCTGTGTCAAACATTCATTATATTCTTTATCTACCTATCCCAACATGCCCTCATCTCTTTTAGTATATGACATTTTTCTCCTGCTAACAAGAAAAAGTGAACAGAATATGAGAACTCCTTTAATTTCCTTTCTCTTGATACATACATATTTCTACTCATTCTCTCCCTCTAGGCACAGGAACAAGTTTCTCTTACTATTCAAAGATAATCTCTTGCCTGTGTTCTTCACCCAGTCTCCTTACATCTACACAAGTATTTGAAGTTTCCACTAATTTGAGCTTTCTTCTGCATTTCCCAAACTGTCCTACTCTAATGGACTCTTCCTTACATTCTGTAAATATTATTAAGTCTCTCCCTTCAAGCCTACTCTTAGGAACTAACACAACTCAATGCTAAAAACCAAACCAAATAAAAAAACCCAAAACAAATAATCTGATTTAATAATGAGCAAATGACGTGAATAGACATTTTTCCAAAGAAGAACATTTCCTGTTTCAAGTGACCAACAAGAACATGAAAAGATGCTCAACATCACCAATCATCAGGGAAATGTAAATTAAAACCACAATAGGATAACACCTCACACCTGGGTATTATCAGAAAGATAAAAGATAACAAGTATTGGTGAAAATGTGGAGAAAAGGGAACCCTGTACACACTATTGATGGAAATGTAAATCGCTATAGCCATTATAGAAAACAGTATGAAGTTTCTTCAAAAAATTAAAAAATAAACAAAACCCCAGACTCCACCACTATACGATTTATACATGTAAGGGAATTTAACTTGTACCCCCTAAATCTATTAAAATCAAAAAGGAAAAAAATTTTCAAAATAAAAATGGAACTACTGTATGATCTAGCAATCCCACTTCTGGGTATATGTCCAAAGGAAATGAAATCGGTAGTATCACGAAGAGACATCTGCAGCCCCATGCTCACTGCAGCATTATTCACAACAGCCGGGATATGGAAACAACCTAAGTGTCCATCAGCTGATGAATGGATAAAGAAAATGTAATACACATACACACACACGCACACACACACACACACACACACACACACAGAAGAGCATTGTTCAGCCATAAGAAAGAAAGAAATCCTGCCATTTGCAACAACATAGATGAACCTAGCGAACAGTAGGCTAAGTATAATAAGCCAGACACAGAAAGACAAATGCTGCATGATGTCACTCTTATGTGGAATCTTAAAAAATCAAACTCATTAAAACACTATAATGGTGGTTGCCAGGGACCAGGAGTCCCTGTAGGGCTATTGGTCAAAGGGTATAAGCTTTCAGTTATAAGATTAATAAGTTCTGGGGATATAATGTACAGTATGGCAAATATAGTTAATAATAATGTATTGTACACTTGAAATTTGCTCAGAGACAGATCTTAAGTGTTCTCACCAAAAAACATTAAATATGTGAGGTGATGAATAGGTTAATTGGCTTGACTGGGGGAATCATTTCACAATGTATACATATATCAAAACACATTGTACACCTTAAATATAAACAATATTCATTTGTCAATCAATACTTAATTTTTTAAAAAGATGAAATACATCCATCTAAGAAGAAGGAAAGTAGATACAGATGTGGACTGATGTAGGTGAGCTAAGAAGTCAAAAAGGACAAGACCAGGA